TATAAACATTATATGTGACTTATTGTTTGCATTTAATTTTCTGTATACTCAAGTGCCTCCGTGGCCTAGTGGTATGTTGCTCGCTCAGAAAGCGAGAGGCCCGGGTTCAATCCCAGGACGATTCTCTTTTTTTTTGGGGGGGGGGGGTTTACTAAATGATACTATTCAACATGTGAAATGAAAAAGTTATGATGTCTGGCGTGTACAAACTTATAAAATCATTATTACAGTCTAATAAATATTCTGTATAGTATATTAAAAAGAATCTTCTATACACATATTGAAGAATAAGTAATCAAATCTTTATATCCATATTGGCTTTTTTTTAATTTGCTTCAATGTACATGTATACATTTAATAATTCTACAAATACAGGGGGCAGTATGACCCCCCCCCCCTCGGAACTGCGCGTGCTCTTCTTTTTTCCCTAAGCGGGAGACACAAAGTCTCTGAATTAGCTTGTTATTTTTGTTCCAATAGAATCTATCCTCTTTCAGGGTGTATGAAATGGTTATTCATCACTACATATAACATATCCTGAAAATACTTTTAGTAGGGTCTGTATACATACTTATAAAAAACATAATAGGAGGTTTTCCAAAACCTAAGGATCCTTGATGCCAATAGCTGTATTGAACTTGTTAAGGAATGCCTCGTTTTATTCAATAAGATGAATTAAAAGAAATGTATCGGTACTGTTGTAATAAAGATTGCTATCGTTTTTCTTTATATCTTTAATAAATGTAAACAATTTTATTTTTATAGAACTTGACATCTGAAAACCGACATTTCCATTAAATTCAACATTCAGGGAAACAATTTAGATAAGACTGTGACATTGTTCTGTTACATTTACATAATACATAAATAAAACACAATGGTAGAAAAATTCCAATATGTCAATTTTTATTAGGAATATATATGATTTGCTTTTGTCTCCTGTTAAGTGGCCAATATTGATGTCTTTGAAGAATGCAGTCAGAGTGAAATGCACCATGGGAACAAACCATCTCATTTATATGGATACCAATTCAATACAGATATTGGCGAATTTTTATGAGATTGATAACATTCATGTCATACTATGGTAAGGGATTTTTATGTTTATGGCTTTGGCGTAATTCAATGCTCATTATAGATTTATTTATTCTACATGTATATCTATTTGAAGGACAAATTTGATAGATATGGAATATGGCATCTTCCCAGATAGAAATAAAGATTAAGCCTCGTTATTCATCTTCAGGACGTTGCTGAAGAAATTAAGTTGTACATGTAGGCCTTAGGTATATATGATCTCATATATTTCGTTTGTTTCTCATCCATTTAAGCAGAATTTACTTTTGTAACTAAAGATAAATCAACAAATATTAGAGAGAACGCATTCCCAATACTGTTACAAATTTTATAATAATAGCATGCGATATTTTACAAGTTCCAATTCTGAAATCTGGACATCAGTCTTGCATAATGATTTTTTTTTTTTAAAAAATCGGCACTTCAGTAAATTTCGAGCTATTTCATTTCATATTCTAATGATATATTGTTATGGTGAAATCTTTCCTCAAAAATATAGAAGTTGGAGAACAAGGTATATTGTTATACCTTTAAAAATTGTTTCCTGTATAATTCTATACTAAAAAAAGTCTAACATGTCCAATGTTTTACTGAGCGGTTATTAAAAAAAATCGATGTTTGACCGCAGAGCGAGATATTGGACCTGTCGATGCAGTCAGAATGAAATGCACCATGGGAACTAAAGTCTAAAACCGTGCGTTGTTGCAGGCCGTAGGACTCCACACGCTAAGGCAAGACTTAGGGCCGGTACACACGGTAAGGCTTGCCTTACAAGTCTAAAACCTTACGTTTTGCAGGACGTACGGCTCTGGCGTCCACACGCTAAGGCAAGACTTACAAGATTATAGACAACATTTCCATAAATCCCACGGGGGTTTTTTTTTTGAGCCGTAAACAGTGCATATCATTAAAATAGAAGTATAGATTACTAGCTAGGACTTTGAAATAATTTTACAGACCAGTGCATTCACAATTCTGAAAAAAGAGGAGGTTGAACAAAAGCATTAATTTTGCGGATATTTTCATTTTCTTATTCGAATATACTTATGTTCCCTTCAATCTACCCACGTGTTTGATAAAAATAGATTGAAATTTGGGTGAGTTGATTTCATTGGTTGAGAGGAACATGTCAGCTAAGTCTTGTATTAAGAAATAGAGCAGTGGTCTATTCGTAAGTCAGACTTGCAAGGCTTGAAAAAACGTGTATTAAGGGTGTACACATGGTAAGGCGAGAACTTTAAGTTCCATGACTTATAAGGCAAGCCTTACCGTGTGTATCGGCCCTTACACGATTATCAACATTTCCATAAATTACACGTTTGTTCAGCCCTAAACAGTGCATTCAGTCATTAAAATAGAATATGATATTACTAGGGCGTTGTGAAAATTTTACTAAGCAATGCTACTAAGCAATACTAACCTTTCTTAAAAACAGGAAGATTTTGAACAGATCGAAGCATATATGGATATATATTTATCATCTCATTCGAAAATACTTTGTGTTTACTTCAATCTACCCGAGTGTATGGTTTGATAAAAAATAGATTGACACTTGGGTTTTTCATTAGCTATGAAGAAAAGTCAGCTAATTCGTATATTAAGAAAAAGAGCACTGCTCTATTCGTAAGTCACATTTTTAAATCTCGGAAAAAGTGTATTAAGAGTTACACAAATTAAGTTCCATGATTTATAAAGCATGTCCTTCCGTGTGTACCAGCCCTTGCGTTGTCAAAAAATCATAATGACAGTCAAAAATAGATTTTATGTTTTAAATACATATAACGTGGAGTGATCAAATTGCAATAAAGTCAAATATCAAAATCTAGGGAAAAGAAGGTGTCCCAACTTTTTGTCTATGACCTTGAAGTGAAATTTCTTTAACATGCAATCGATAATCTTTGCGTGTTGGGTTCCTAAAATTGTTGGATGAAAACAAAGATGAAACAAAGAAAAACTGACAAGTATAATTCACCATACTCCCGATGTATTGATACCATCTCCATAGCAGAGTTCTCTTGGTATCATTGAATCTATATAAGATTTAAGTGAACATACTGGTAATGATTTAGATCTCAAGCTAGGTCAATCTAAAGATCAAGGGTCTCTTATATTAAATTTACATAGGGATTTTTATGAAGAAAATTAATGGCACAAAGTTACACACAACACAAAGTTACAACACAAAGTTAAGAGGAAGATCAGAGACCTTGTTACATCATTACAACATAATCAAGTCGAACATTATAAATGTGTCAGTTAAACAAGTGTTCCTCCTATGTTTGAAAGAACTTCAAAGGGAGTCAATTCTAGCATAAATCATGATTAATTAATAATATAAAATTTACAAATGAATTTATTAAATGAATAATACAAGCAGAAATGTGCCACAATACAAGCAGAACCTGAAGAGTCATTTTAGCGGATAAATCAAACTGATGTGGCATTGTAGTTTTGGAGCATGTTTTTATATGTAAAATGTCGGTCGACCAATTAAAAGAGGTGGGTATAACGGACACTGATGGATCTCATACATCCCGTAAACAATACGAATATTGAACAGGGCAAAAACACACATCCCTGGAAACATCAGAGATGGGATCAGGTGCCTGGGAGGAGTAAGCATCCCCTGTCGACCGGTCTCACCCGCCGTGAGCCCTCTTTATTGATCAGATAAATGGAATAATCCCTTCACGATATTCATAAATCGTTTACATGTTCATTGAATTTAATAAAGTAACTCTTAGGCGACAACAAAACTGAAAATGATGTAGAAGGAGTAGCGTTTTATTTATGATATATCAGTAAGATGCAATCTAGAAGTCTAAAAATTACCCCCAAACAATCTGAGGTTCAAATGCTACTGTCAGAAAAATATATGTATAAAACATACAAATAACAAACTATAACATGGTAGTTAGAATAATGAACATGATTGAAAAATTGCTCAGACAATGAAACCCATTGTTCAATTAATAATAAAAGTTACATATATAAATAACAATTAAAATCTCCTTAAAATTTTCCATAATATACTCCCCCTATCAGCTATTTAATGAATCCTTATAAGCTAAAAATGAACCAACACAGTAAAATATCACAATGAAAAATATTTCAGTAGCAGATGTACACCGAGTACAGAAAATAATAAAGAAAAATTTTCTAAAAAAAACTATTTAGAAACTCTCTGTTGCTTCATAAATGTTATGCAAGTAAATAATAGATTTTTTTTTCTTTGCCATACTGCCACATAGCAACACCCCCATTCTAAATCCTCTGGGCCCAGAGATATCCTGTTTCAGCTGTACATGAATTATCCAAAGTTTTAACACTTACATGTACCTGTAGCTATACCTTAAAAAAATTATCTTCGTAAATCTACTGTATAATTAACAAACAAGAAATTGAAAATGTGGGTGCAGGCAAATATATAATAACAATGAAATCAGCACTAAGCGTGCAAATTAAACCTTCTTATGATAAAATCGACATCAATTATGCACCATTCAAACAAGAAATAAAGAAGTCCCACATGATTAGATATAAATTAGGTTTTAAACCACTATAATTTAAACATTTTACAAAGAGATATACAAGTAATGTGTTGCATTAAAAATTCAAATTTTAATTAAAACTTACCCTTAACTATCTACATGTAACTAAGGTAAATAAACATTGAGATTCAAACATTTAATGTAAGATTTATATATTACTTGCCATGACCTTTCGACAAAATAATGTTTGGGTCGTGCCGCAATCACCTTGCCTGAAGTAAACGTATTATTCCTACAAACATTGCATTTCTTGTTAAACATAATTTTTTTAAACATTGCTATTGATAGCCCTGTGAAGCATATATATCATGCAAGCATATAATCTTCTCAATAACTGAAACTACAATTCGCTCATCGCAGAGAGCATTTGTAGTATTGGGTTTGAAGACTTACGCATGAATAAGTAAGACGTTGTCAGATACGCCGGTATTTTGGGGACGTGAAGATCCATATTTCTGGAATAGTAAAAATGAATGATTCTATCATAGAGTTATCAAATATAGATAATAATCATAGCTCTATGTCTAAGGACAACAACAGTGAAACATATGGATTTAGCAGAAATAAAACTGATGATTACGATCCGGTAGGTTAATTTTTTTTAAAAATGTATTTGATCAAGTTTGTTTCTGTGTGATCATAGAACTTGCGAATGAGACCAAAACAAATTTTTGGGAGTTATTTTCGTCTGTACATAAATTTGGGGAAAAAGTTTATTATCTTATTTTATAGGAATTTGGGAATAATTTTTTTAAAGGAGAAATTGTAATAAAAATATACCAAGTAAGCAAGATGTTAGAAACAGCTAAAATGATTGGTTTAAGTGGTAAGTTCTTTTGAAAACCGGACCCCAGGTTTGCATTTTTCATTATGCATAAAAGAATAATATTTTCAAGCCAAAATTCATTCAAATTAAAATCTATTGACTGGCGACAAATTCTCAGATAGCAACTGTTCCTGGACAGTCTAATCGTGTATGCCATAATATCCACATTATTTCAGAAATATTCTATTCTGCATTTATTAAATAGCTACGTATAGGACTTAACTGTACGTTTCGATGCTGTCTTAATATTTTAGCTTTAAAACACCTACGTTAGTAAGCTTAATCTTCCACTAGCAAAGTATGTTAAATGATTATTTACAGAATGTGCCGTTTATCCTGCAGTTAAAACGTGTGCATGGATATAACGTCCTATTCCGTTCTTTTGCATTCAAGTGAAGCAATTAAATAAAAAAATGTGTATGGACGAATTAATTGAATTTCTTTATTGAGGTGTACAAGAGCAGATTCTCTTTCGCAAAATGTGCTGAAATAACCATGAAAATTAAACATACCTTGGTCTATTGTATACAAGTTTCTTATCAAAAAAATTATGAAAGAAAAATTCAATAAATGATAGAAGAAAAAATTAAAATTCCTTAATTGATCTCTTTAAAGTAAGACAGCACTGGGTGGCATTTAATGCGCATACCATTATTTGTGTTAGTTAGAATTTTAAAGTTTATACTGTACATGTAGGGTTTATTCGATGTATTTCTTCATTTTTAATTTAAGACTATTCATTTGTAATTGGGATTAAAATACAGGGCCCTTTTTTGAACGAATGGATTTTTTTGTAAACAATTAATGTATTTTTTTCCAGATTTAATAAAATGACGTATTCCATAACTCTGCAGATTTTGACTATGCGGTTTATTTAAGCTAATTCATATAGCTAATGGACGGTTTTCTGACTTCGCGTACACAAATCCGATTTTTACTGAAGACGAATGGCTGATCAAAGATACCGGTACCTGTCGAATGATGTCTGACATCCATACAGAGCTGTACATATCTATTAATTTGCTTAAAAGGATATTTTATTTGACAAGATTTTTGTATTCATATTTGTCAGAAATAATTATAAACGAGGGGGGGGGGGGGTTTAAACTTTTTAAAATTGATTTACCTTCATGAATTGTTGATTCATCTTTCTGTATAATTATGCATCGTACTTTTTCATTAGTAGGAGTATATGCAATCTACCAAACAAGACTTACTGATTGATTGATTAAGTCCTATTCAAGGATTTTTCACTCATATAGAGACGTCACCATATACCGGAGAAGGTCTTCAACTTTAGACCTATACTCCTATACTCAATTTAATTTTTTCTTTATTGCAGAAGACATACGTCTTATAGCAGTATTACAAGATTATAACAAAAGAGACGAAAATGGACGGTCAGTCCTTATAAATCTATATCATATACATACATATACAACCATGTTAACAGTATTCATAGATTATATGGAGAATGACACATACATGTAGATTAATGAAAAATAGTAGTAATAATCATGTTAGAATAATAATAATAAATAGCCAAGTCAGCAAATGACACAATATTATATGTTTAAATCATTTCTAAGCGCAAGGGCTTTATAAATGAATTTTCCCAAATTACACAATTCTTTTACATTGTTCACACTTATTAACTGTATTAATTTGTACATGGATGGCCTACACCAATAATACTTTTTTCAATAACTTTAATCGTAATGCCGTATACACCGGGCATACAAGTATAAAATGATATTCGTCTTCAATTTCAGTAGTACATGTACATGTTTTACAAAATCTTTTGTCTCTTGGTACATTTTTATGCCTACCTGTTTCAATAAATAGATTATGCGAGGACAACTCATTTTGGAAATACATATTTTTTGTACAGCTTTGGTATTGATTTTTCTAAATAATACTGTAAGCAAAAATTATACTCGGAACTCAGGGCTATCGTGCCAAGTCTACCGTGACAAGGGCCTCGGTTTTTAAGGTCTCATCCGAAAGACTTGTAACTTTCACTTCTTATGCCGGGCAGTTGGCGAAGGAACAGTCACTACCTCTGTATACGTCTAAGGTTTGACGTGGAACGTACGGTGAACGAGAATCGAACCTGGACCTTCTAATCACGAAGCAAACACCCTACCACTAGGCTACCCTCCAAACAAGTTATAATAAGATAGACGAATTCCTAAAACATATTAAACTAAAATACGGAAATGTTTAAGAAAATTGAGATTAATCCCCGTTCCATTTTTGTGCAAAGGAATATTGTTCACACCATTGTCACTTAAAGCAAAATGTATAGAGCTGAACAGTGAAAATAGTATGCGAACTGTATTGCATGTCAAACAATGCATATTGAAACATAAACACCATAGAATACACAGGGTGTATTACATGATAGTACAAATGGAAATTAATCGACAAATTAAGAGCTCACATCACTGAAATCCAGAGTAAAAGAAGGAAATCCAATTGTCGAATAATGAGTTAAGATTGTGGTGCCATTGTCAAATTATCACACTGTATATCTCGAATGGTTGCAAAATGTAGATTTTTATTTATAAGTTTAAATTAAGGTGAAATATCCCTCTGCTCCAATCTCACTAATTTTTTTTTTAAATTCCCAACATTGATTTTCACCAACAGCAATAGCATTAGATTCAAATGGAAAATAGTTTGAAGTATGAAGCGTTGCTTACTCTAATCACATTGTTTTCTGTGCTTGTAAAAACACGCATCAATGTTCTTCCAAATATTTTTTAGTGAAACAAATATTAATTAATTGATTATAAAATTCTGCATCTGAAATTTCTGTAACAATTAAAGGAATTTATGTTAAGAGATAGAAATATCTCAATTTCAACAGTTTAGACGAACTGAATTTAAATGTTTTAGGAAAACTATTACATGTATAAGTAATTAATAAAAATCTGGCACTAGAAAATAGAAATCAATATTTGTAACATAGTTCAGACTTGAATGAGTTGACTATATATTGGTCCTCATTTTGAAACTCTGGTAAGTCAATTCATTGCATTGCTTGGAATAAATTCCTTGGAAAGTTATCTCTCTTATCAGAGTGGTATTACACCTTAAAGCATTGCTTATTGCTCCATCTTGAAAAGAAATCAAAGCCCTCAATATTAATTTCTTTCCCAAAGGTGTATTTTAACAACAAAACTATTTTTTTAAAAATAACAATGATAAATTATAGCCATACTTATGAGAACGTCAATCCCTATTGACATTTAATGTTTTGATGAAACCTTTTTATCTATGTAAACAGAGAAAATGTGAAGAATCGAGTTTATGAAAGCGTAATTATGAAAATGGAATATGGCGAAATGTAATATTTTAACTACTTGTTTTATTTGCATCAGATTTTGCGTTTCATTGAATAAATACGTTTCAAGATATCTCCAGTGCATTACGTTATGAATGTAAGAACACAAGCCACAATTCTCTGAGTCTTTTATCTGGAACGCCTCAATTTGCCTTATGTGGATAACATTCATGTCGTAATTAATGATAGTTCCTAATTATATGCTGATACTTTAACATTATATGCTGATACTTTGACATTATATGCTGAACTTCATTTTAAGATGGTACTTTGACAATGCACTGATAGTTGATACTTCTTCATTATAATTATGCTGACAACTTCAACTCGACAATTAAAAAGGAAAACACCGGTGTCTATAAATAAATGTAGATTGTATTTCAATGCCTTCACTTATTCTTAATAATTTAAAACAAGCAGTTGATAATTGATAATAATGATTTGTGGACGAGTGTAATATTTTTGCTATTGCGTTTATATCATACAACAATTTGTCCCGTTTAAATCAATTTCAGTTTGAGGGATGGGGGACGATATCAGTATAATTATTGGCAAAATCCTGGGGGCACACAACCCCCCCCCCCTCCATCCCCGTTTCCAACGGGCCTTACAAACATCTTACATGCATATTACTCTAATTCCAGCTCACTGTGGTATAAAGTTTTAAATACATTTCGTCAAATTATGTAGGAGTGGGGGGGGGGGGGGATTGTCTGTTTGGACTAATATGCTATAAAACTCATCCTAGACGCATCCTAGACATTCGTTTTTTATACAATAATAATTGAGTAATGTAGTACTTTATATCCTCAATAGTGGTGTTTCATTGGGCTCAAATTAACTGCGTTGCGAAGAAACAAAAGAGGAGGGGATGCTCTTAAAATTTCAGAAGTTGCCTGCATAATGGTCGTTAATTTCCGCTAGTAATTCAAAATGGATTGCTAAATTAATTTTAGTTTAAAAAAAAAATGAAGATTTATTTTGACGACCAGCTGTATGAAGACTTTTTTCCAAGCTTCAACGAAGTTTTTCCCTTAAGAAAATACTAAAATAGGAAAACGTCAATTTTTCAAAGCTAAAATAACCATACCTTTTTCAGTTTTAATTCTTCATAATTGTTCTTGTCTGTCTCTACCACTATAAAATTACTTAATTTTTGTCTTTGATAGTCAAAAGAAAGAGTCAACCAAATATAGAATCACGGCAAACTTGACTTTTTCGAAAATCATTAATTCTGTTGTCTGTTTATCCCTAACAAAAAAAAAAATAATTCAGTAAACTATAGTTAATTATTAATAGTAAACTTTATTTAAGTATAGGTAATGATAACTTTGACATAATGAAAACTATGGTTAACGAGGCCTATAGTGATTACTTTGACACTTTGATTTACTATAGTGATAATTTTGACACTTTGTTTTACTATAATGATAACCTTACACTTTGATTTACAATGATAACTTTGACACTTTGATTTACAATGATAACTTTGACACTTTGATTTACAATGATAACTTTGACACTTTGATGTACTATAGTGATAACTATGACACTTCAGTGATCACAATGACACTATTATAGTGATAACTTTGAAAAAAAATTAATATACTATAGTGATAGCATTGCAACTAAGATTTACTATACTTAATACAGTAAAATATAATTTACTTCCTCTTATATAGTATTTTTGTTAGGGATCTCCTAATACATAGTCAAATGGAGATCGGGGTAACTTTCGGGATCATCAAATTAATGTGTGTTTAGAATAATATATATTTTTTTTTGGGGGGGGGGTGCTTATTCTATTTTAATCTATTTTTAAATAATTGTACATGTTCAGAAATAAGCATATGATGATAAAGTTTCAGCATATGAGGTACATGTATCAGCATTTAATGTTAAGGTACATGTACAATCATATAATGTAAAGGTATTTATCATATAGTGTCAAAGTATCCGCATGAAGAATAATTAGCATACTGGTATATTAAACAAAGTATCATTATATAATGAAGACGTATTACTATATAAAGGCAAAGAATCAGCATATCATGAAGAAGTATCAGCATAAATTTAGGTTAATGTCAGCTTATTATGTCAATGTATCAGCATATAATGAAGAAGTAACAGCATATAATGAAGAGGTATCAGCATATAATGAAGAAGTATCAGCATATAATGTAAAAGTATCAGCATATAATGAAAAAGTAACAGCATATCATGAAGAAGTATCAGCATAAATTTAGGTTGATGTCAGCTTATTATGTCAATGTATCAGCATATAATGAAAAAGTGTCAGCATATAATGAAGAAGTATCAGCATATAATGAAAAAAGCATAATTGTAGGATAGAATGAAGAATTAACACATACTTGCGGTGAAGAAGTTTCAATTACGACTTGACTGAGAGCCACATAAGGCAGTTTGGGCGTTCCAGAAGTTTAAATGCTTAAACAAAAGAAAAGAAGACTTTTCCGAAAATCTAGTTCTTGGAAAAGATTAACGCACTTGTAGACAAGTTTAAACTTTTCAGTCCATCTGGTACAAAAGTTCGTGTTTAATCCTGCAAAATTTAGGTAAAGTTCATACAGTTCCAATGTATATTAATAACCGGAAGTATCGGAAAATTTATTTTGTGTTTAAGGTTGAAATGCAACAGAAACTGAAATTTTATCAATTAAATCTTTGTTGCCTTTTTGTTATAAAGAGTGCACTTGCATACCTGCCTTTGAAATTTTTAGCAGATGTTACCCATTCCGAGCGAGTACTCTTGATGTACCTTATCTTACTGGATCTTACTAGATCTTTTACATATAATACAAACGCCTCAAGTTAAAGAAAGAGCATATATATGATAAATTGTCATGTACACTTAAAGGCATGTAATACCTACATGTATAAAAAAATGTGCACAATGTAACATTAAAAAAAAACATGTAGTTCAAAGTGAATTTTAATTTCAAACTTCACTTCAGCTTACAAATTTGTAATACGTATATGTTTTTTTTTTAAAGTGCAAGTAGTATTTTTTTATATTGAAGAAAAAAAGAACATTCGTGGCATTTATTGGGATTCAATTATCCCCTTGATTTAATGTTTTCTGGAGAAGTAGAGAGTTAGTACACAAGATTTCTGATGAACTAGAAAAAAAATGAGTTATGCGCATTTATTGTTCAGCTTGTGTATGAAATAATTGACGATGATACTCAACATTGGCGTCTGAGTAGCCTGAGAATGCAACACACTTAACTTCAGAATAATTTAGGCTAATTGTCTCTTCTTCCGCGAATAGGTTTGCGTTATCTTTGAGTAAGCTTAATCGTCCATAAAAATAAGTGCACTGTTTTAGATGGCTTCTGAAAGGTACGGACAATAAATGCAATAAACAAGCTTTTTTAAAAAAAAATGGGGGAAATATGAACAGGTTTATCTAACGTTTATTTTAATGATTTTCGAAACGTTAACGTTTCGTGCATGATCAATGTCATTATAAAAATAACTATTGTACATAAATCCTATGCAAATAAAAATTCAGTAATATATATAATGCAGAATCTCGGTATTCGTTTTTTTTTTTTTTTACATAAATATCAGTCGGTCTGTCATGCATACTTACAAAAAAGCCACCCCAAGTTCTGCTGATTAACCTTCTGCCAAAACATTGAAAGCTTATTTGAATTTTTATACGCTTTATGTACGGAATCCCCCCGCCCCCGGAGAAAAAGTGTTTTATATTCAGCCTGAGGAATCCATTAAGGCTTAAATATACTGATAAGGTTTAGTGAAGAATAAAATTCTGATCGAATTAAAATTCAGTAGCTTTTTATACACAAAATATAAGACAATCCCGCGTTTTTCATGCTTTCAACGTTTTGATCACTAATATTGTATTCAGATAACTTTAGCATCCTTTAACACAGTACTTTGGGATGTTTAAACTAAAATATAACTTCTAACAATATTATATTTGATAATTAAATTAAGACATGAGTAAATTAAACACGCTTTAGTGTAGAGTTTTATTCATTTTTGGTGCCTGCAAATACTGTTAGTTGTAATAGTACAATTGTTTTGCTGATTACAATAAACTAAATGTTTATTCGCAAGCATAAGACTTACTTCACACCCTTATAGATATTACAATCAAGTAATCTGTTAAAGAAAAAGACGATCCCTTGAGCAAATTTCATGTCCTGCTTCGTGATTATTTCATGATAAACTAAGAAAATTTGTTGAATTTTGAAATTTAATCTTTTATTGCGTAGATTTGTATGCTTCCTTTGATTTCGATCTGCTTCGTACGGAATTACTGGGGGTTCAATTCGGAGTAAAAGCAACTCAATTTACAAAAGCTTGTGTAACTGATGCATATTTAAAAATGTTATGATCATAGAGACAAGAGAGGAGTTTTGTATCTTTCATAATAATGTTAACTTAAAAATGTGAATGAAAGCTGAAAACGTTTTACAACCATTTTGCCCCTCCTTTGTGAGAAATTACTGATTATGTAAGTCCAATTGATAGAATTTCGGGATTCAGTTATATAAATATCAGTCAGTTTGTCATGCTTACTTATAAAATCCATCCCAAAATTCTGCTGCCAGGTTTTTATTTTTCAAGAAAGGGAATGCTTATTTGAAATTTTCCTTGAAAGATTTTTATTTTTTTTCTGGTTGATTTCCTTGTTTAAAAAAAACGTATATATAACTGCATCTTGTGTGAGAAATGGTCTATGGGACGTAAGAGAATCGCCTCAAACTCACATGTAGTAAGTGTCATGCTCTTTTTTTTCTCACCTAGCTTGCACTTTTGAAGTTAATGTTAAGAATAATTATTTTTACATGTATCTCTAACTGTGTCTTATTTAATCACTCTTCGAATGATTTTCAGTTGAAAAAGTAAATTACTGAAAAATCAATGGGGATGAACGAGGGCTTGTTACTTTTGAATTTTAACGAAGTGTATGGCCATTCATTCACGAGGCAAGTGATCGAGAAAGGGAATCTGAAGCATTAACTAAATGTAGTCTATGATATCAGTTCACAAGTGTTTTATATACTTAAGGGTTCAAAGTTAACTCTTACTTTTTTTAAATTCATTTGAAGTGCATTTAGATCTTCAAACGGTATATAAATCAAAGCGACAGGGTCATTATAAAAAGTGTTCTATCTAAGTAGAAAAGACGAAATTTCTTTTTTTATTCTTGCAGAATGAAAACTTTGGGGGTATTCTATCACTCAGGTTCATTGAGAGTTAAAGAGCATTTCTTTGATTGTTTCCAATAGTGTGATAGCGTTATTTTGTTTGCTTTAATTAGAACCCTAAGGAGATTAAAATTTGTGGAAGATAGGTGTAATTGTTGTTATTTCGTGTTATCCTATCCAATAGTGTCAGTATTTTACTCTTTATTATTTTAAACAGCTTATCTCTTTTATGTATTTTTGAACATAATGATGCAACAGCACGACCCTTTGTGAGATACAGAATACAAAGAGGAGATTAGATATAAAAAAAAATTATTTGCAGCCATTTCACACTGCGCGTACACTCCTGTATGCGGCAAACAGCTGGGCATAATATCGTGTAATTGATCAAAATATTGATGTAATGGACATCAAACAGCTTTTAAAAAGAAATTTATGGGTCTGTTCCGATCTCTTGTTGACGGACCCTTTGTAAGTCTCTGATTTGATGATTTGCATTTAATCTTTGAACGTCACAAACGATCGATTCAAACCGTTCGGTGTTTGAAATTTACCAAGATTGCTTTCATAATCTGGACTTCTATTATACACGATGCATTCATAATATTTCTACAGTGAAAAATACATACTTACAATTGAACTTCCTACTGAAGGGTTTCAGTTGAGTCTTTGCTTCCTTATTTGGAGATATAGTAGATATCAATAAAGATGAAAGTTATAACACAAACAGCATTAGTAAAAAAAAAAACACACACAATAACAACAGCCAAACAAAAGGAAAACATGCAAGTCTTTAATACCATGCAAATACAAACACGATTTAATCAATGTTAAAATTCTGTAATATATCATAGTGCGCATGTCATCCATGTGACACGTGTAATTAGTTCTGTGCCTTTTACCTGTGACATAATTATAAAGTAATAATATACATGTATTTATTTATCTTTTTTCAGACTCCATCGGTAGTTTTCCTGGCAACAATTTTCCCATTCATGGTTGTAGGGAATATTGTGGTGCTTACGCTAATACTCAGAAAAAGAGGACGTAAAAACCGTATGGACATTTTATTTGCAAACACGGCATGTGCAGGTATGTTTAAGAGAACCTTTTTGTAACAAGTGGGGTATAAGGGACATATGTATCAGACTGGATTTAGAGCATATGTTTTGAAAATAAAACCTTTTGTTTTTAAGTGACATGATAAAAGCTGGCTGTATACAATATTAAAAATACAGGCCAAAACTACAAATATACTTACACTTTGCATTATTTTTTCAGATTGCTTTCATGAGTACCCATATGAAATTCAAATTAGCACCGGTTTGTGCATTATTTAGTTATTAATCATTTAGATTCTATGACTCAACCCTACTGCATTCCTTAATTTAATTTGGCAACAACAACAACAACCAAAAAAGCCATGATACAGACTCAGTCTTCTAGTTATTTGACATGAAAGTGGAATATACCTTTGCTAGGGAATTCTATTCTCTGAAAAACAGTTTAAGAAAAGGTACCTTAAATCGGTTTAATTCCGTACTTCTGCAGAATTACAAATTTACTATATATGATGTTCCCTCAAAAACTACGGAGACAGTATCATTCTTCGTCATATGATTTTCAAGAACTTCAAAACCAACAACGTTTTATATGTAAAAACATTAATTCATCGATGTGTGAGGTTTTATTCTATTCGATCAAATTAATAATTTTATTTTATTTTAAAATCAGCTTGTTTTGTGACCACTTTTAACAATTTTAATAACTAAACATAAGGTCACAACATATTACACAAATTTTTCTCAAAGTACTCCGTGGACTGTCATTAGAAGTTGCACTCTTTTTGTTTTGTCTTCTTCAGTTAGGAGTCTTGTATCTATTTTCAAATCCAAGTCGTACACCATATAAACCATTGACTTAAGTTCCGCAACAATGGCACAGTTTCATGTTCCAGATGTTACCAGCTCCTTTGACAAGATTCTCATTTATAATCCGTTTCGTTCTGGGACGCCCAGCGTCATATAAATGTAGAGTCTATACCACTCAAAAACGTCATGCGCACATGCATGGCTCAATTTTGCCATCAATTCTGCTTTTTTTTAAAAAAAAGCAGTTTGAATTAGCATTTTTCAGAGTGCAACTCAAACTTTTACCGCTATCCGCTGTTCTGTGTGTCCTGCCAAGTCTTCTTCTTTCTTTCTTTTTTTTTTTTTTTTTTTTTAGACTTTAATAATAAGCTACCAGCCTTCTGTAATTGATTTCTGTTCAACAAAGCAATATATTATTTTACAATTTGAAATTACATACAAAACTTTAGGTCATTTTACAAGAGATATTATTATTTGTAAATTACTAAATTTTGAATTCTTAAACAAATCAAGATTTTTTTCCTTATTAAATTAATTAGACTGACTGATAAAACATAAATGACAAAATTCTATGCATGTTTTGAATGACAATGACAGGTATTGTTCATCTGCAAAGGAATAGACTCCAGGCCACCAAAAGTATGTGTTGAAAAATGAGTGCGAGTAAGAGCCTTTTTATTTTACCCCTGTAGAATTTTACTGTCTAGAGGGAATCCAGTCTTAAGTTGAAAAGAAAATGGTATTCATTTTAAATTAAATTCCATAAGAGGTAAAATTGTTCCCTTTTATTATTTATTTTTAAAACGCTTGGTATTCAAATGGAGCCAAAACATAGCCTTAAACATGTCATTGAGCAATTGGGAGTGTAACGCTTGCATTGCTCACTACGCATATATTGTTGACACCTTCAAATGCATTTTCTCCAGATTTTCTTTAGTTTAAATGAGAATATACTGCTGATTACTAAAAGTTTCAACGAATTCTGATTTTTCTTTACTCGTAATTGATAACCTATTATACAGAGCACCTGTCAAACCTCATGAATAAGATATTTTATATGCACTCCTTTAGGCGATGGTGTGAAAAAGATAAGATACACCAATATATTTTATTGTGTCACGAACACTTACCGTTAATTTAACCATAATTTGTTAGATATATACAGAGTACATGTAAATTGTCTTTTAGAAAAGAATTCCAAGTCAAAGAACACCAATCTTCTTCTTCTTCTTCTTTTTTTTTTTTTTTTTTTTTTTTTTGTAAATTAGGTAATTATCATCGACTTTTCAATATCCATGCTTCAGTTTGTTGGGTAAAATAGTATAATTATACAACTGCCGATAATAACTAAATCTAGCTGAAGACCAAATCAATTTCTGTTGGTTGTAAATGTCACATTTAGGCTTTATTTAATTATCACTTTAAAACCATCACAAAGTGATTATATCTTTTGAAAATACGATTTAATGAGGGAAGACTTCCCATGATTAAGATAAATTTTATAAACTACTCGCATTGAGCTATTTTCCCCTAATTAAAAAAATAATTAAATTAAATGTTCTTTATTTTTATCGTAGCCATTTTATCGACCGTTTACCACAATGGATAAAAGCACATGCACTTCGCATACACGTACGTGCATCGAAACAATGTTTTGGCCGCAGTTTAACGAGTATCATTCGATCAACCTCTCAGTCTCATAATTTCTACAAAGATAGATTTGGTTTAGATAAAAAGTATGATATTAACGTAAAGAATCATACAATGGTTGTTATATATTTTATTGATGGAAATAAACATGTGAGTGCTACATTGAATACAAGATATAGTAACTGGGTATCTCACCTCATGATTTCCTCACTCTCTATCTCTAAAAATTCACCCCTATCAGTTTCACCCATCTATCATTAATTCATTCACTGCAGCCAGCCTGTGTATGTTTATGTTTTACTGCTATATGTTTACGCTTTTACATCACTCCTTCATAGTTTATGAGTTTCAACCTATTTGCAAACATAACTTTGCTTGTGGTTTATGTCAACATCCCTTACCTTTAATGTAACCGTTTGATGAACTTATTCACACTACTGTCAATCATTTCTTCGTGCTTACCTGTGCTCTCACTTTCAACTGTTTCATACTTTTCGATAAAGATCTATTTCAACCAAATCTACCTCTTCAGTATGCTGCGTACGCTACCAAAACTTTTTAAAGTATACTATAGTTAACTGTAGTTAGAGATATATGTACAATGAAATATGAAGATAACAAAGAGTTATTAAGCTCAATATTCTAATTAAACAATAAAAAGAAATGGAGCAGAGCAAACATGGACCTCTAAAAACGTCAGAAAATGGGATCAGGTGTCATGGAAGAGTAAGCATCCCCTGTTGACCGGTCACACCTGCCGTGTGCTCCTTGTCATAATCGGGCAAACGGTCCTCATTATTAAGCTTTAATCTAGATTAAAATAATCCGTAGGAAAAAATCCGTAGACAATTCGGTGTGAAAATAATGGCCTAACAATTTGTATAAAATACGTCAACAACATTCGACTATTCGACTCAGTAGTAGATTGTATTTGCTGAAAGGTCATTGGATCGACCATAGAATTTTAGAAATGTTGACTTTAAATGAGACCGTTGATATTCTTTTCATCACCTTATATGTCAATAGCTTGCCTCGTTTTAGAAATTGTTCGTGCGTCTCGAATGAACTTGGAGACTTAAACTCCATATGCAGGTGATAATGGTATATTGGTACGTGACTGGGGGAAATTGACGGTAGAACAGTTGAAGTCGGATGTATCATAAAGTTTTGTTGTTATAGGTTACCATTTTCCAGTAAGATATCCAAATATGAAACAGATGTATCAGACTCTGTGGTACCTTTTACCTTGAGTTCAAAAGGATATATCAAATCAACATAGGAACAATAGTGAATGTTGTTGATTGCTAAACGTTGTCGATGAACCTAATTGTTGAATTAAAGGTCACAGCAAGAGACTTCTTTTCATGAAGTTTGTGAATAAATTCTGCTTCGTATGAATACAAAAATAAGTCTGTTTATAACGGGGTGCATTTAGAAACCATGGTAATTCCGGCAGATTGTTTGAAGAATTCATCTCTAAAACTACATAGATATTGTCAATCAGAAACTCAATCATTTTTAATATAAACTTCGGAGCATTTGTTTGTACAATCAGAATGTTTTTTAACAAAATAATTTTAAAAATGACCAATTACAAGTGAGGTAAATTTACGAGTTTCATTTTAATTTTAAAAGAAGCTGTCTATGATATGACAAAGTCTGGGCTTTAATTTTTCATGGAGAATAGTTGAATAAAGTGTTGAAAAGTCATCATCACCTGATACATTTGTGCATAGCTATATATAAAAGTACAGTAAAGTGATAACTATAATACATCAAAGTGTTAAAATTAATATAATGCGATTGTAGTAAATCAAAGTGTCAAAATTATCTCTATAGTGAATCAAGGTGTCAAAATTATTACTGTATTAAATCAAAGTGTAAATGAAAGTGTCAAAGTTATGACTAGAGTAAATGAAGATATCAAAGTTATCAAAGTAGTAAATCAAAGTGCCAAGGTTATCATTTTTATGATAGTTAATTATAGTTTCCATAGTGTCAAAGTTTTCACTAAAGTTAACTGTAGTTTATTCTAGTTAATTACATTTTACATGTACTATTATATTTTTGTTAGGTTGTATACATGTACATAATTGATATCCAAACGCAGTTCGATCCCACTTCTGACACTGCTGGAGATATAGAGGGTTGATAACATATCATCTGTCTCTAATTCCATACCAGTATCACAAAGTGCTGATTTGGGACCCCTGCCCCTGCCTCTGCTTCACACAGACCAGAGACCAGTCTCAATTCTACCTCTGGAACCACTTTTCTCATTTTTTTGGCTTTGAAGTGCCGAAATTTTTTTCGGCAAATTGATTGATTAATTGTATGTTGTTTTATGTCCCATTCGAGAATTTTTCACTCATATAGAGACGTCACCATATACCAATGAAGGGCTTCAAATTTTGACCTTTACTCGGCACTCAGGGCCATTGAGCAGTGAGGGATGTTTATCGTGCCAACGCCTGCCGTGACACGGGGCCTCGGTTTTTAAGGTCTCATCCGAAGGACCCGCAACTTTCACTTCAAAGTGCCGAGTGCAATGCGAAGGAACAGTTGCTACCCATTTTTTATCGACTTAGGTCAGTCGCGGCCGAGATTCGAACTCACGACCTACCGAGTGAGCTACCGTGACGGTCTCGGCAAATTGAAAAGATGCCAAGCTTTAGTTGACCTAGTTTAATTGCCCCGGAAACACTATAATATATATGCATATGTATTTGATTGAAAGAAAAATTAAGTAACTAAAACACAAATACTGATGACACTTACATGTACTTCATTTGAAGTTATGGTCTAGAAGAGATGCTTTTTGGTCAAATAATTTGGCCTACTAAAAGAGATGAAAAAATCCAGAACTAAATTCAGAAATAAGATTGACAATGTTGTGGAACAACACTAGTTGACCTTTACGTCTTATAACTCCTATAACAGGGATTGGTGTGTCCAGAGTGATGAAACCCTTTGAAATTAGAAAAATACCAATATTATATACAAGTACTTGTAATTGTGGATTCTTTAAAAAGACCTACGCATGCCATGTAAACATATTCTTCTGATGAAATATAATCAGAATATGAATACTCACACATTTGCCCTAGAAAGTTTCTAGAAGTTAATATTATATAATGGAGTGCACACTACTTTGATGCGTCATGGTCGGTGAAACACATGACTTATGGGAATTTTTTAGAAAGTCAATTGAACGTCATTGACCCTGAATATTATTACTAGAAATGTTGAAGCCGTTCATCTGTGATGCTCCGAATGTTACGCAGATTTTCTGGATGAATGGCATTTGACAAGAATATATAATCAAATCAACTTCTAAGTACATGTGTTTTTTTAAATCCTTGACCAAGTTTTCATAGAGTTATATCTGCACCTATTCAAAATATTTCATGTTCTTTCTTTTCAGGATAAATTATTAAAATATTTATATACATGTACATTCTAGATCTCTCCGTGGCATTGTTCCTGGTACTAAGTGACCTATTCTGGCACCAGTCTAAATATTGGTACATTGGTACTGCAATGTGTAAGCTAGTACGTTATTTTTCAATGGTTGCTACCTACAGTTCCAACTACGCCATCGTCGTTTTAAGCATAGACAGGTGTTTAAGTGTTGCCAGGCCAATGCAGTCAATTTCAAGAGGTAAGGCCATCGAAAGTCATATAAGACCGTTTATAATTTAACTGATCACCAATTTTAATTTCTCTCTTTCATTAAAAATTATGATGATTTTGCCTTTTCGTTGTTGAAAAACATTTTGTGATCCTTTGTTGTTGCAGGTCGTTCTATTTTGTATTTCTTGACCATTAGTCTGGCCCAAGACTTTCATGTACATAACTCTTAAACGGTTGCATCTAGATTTTAAAAAATAAGCTTGTATTCGATTAAAATGAATGGAAGATTTCGACAAAAAATGTTGAAAATGAATAATTTAATTTTAAAATGAAGTACTAAAATGCGCTTACATATAAAGGAAATATTGTAAAGATACTTGAAATAACTTGACAACAGCCAAATAAAACAAGATTTCAGCCAGCTTTAAGCATATTTATGCCTATAAAGCCTTTAAAAAGAGAAAACCTAGATTCAAAGTGGATTTTATCTGGATTTTTTACAGGTGTAAAAAGCTGCAGAGTGTACATAGGGATTTCATGGGGTCTCTCTTTTCTGTTCTCTATAAAAATTCCTTTTCTGTTTCGAATCCATTATCTAAATGGACCACCCCAGTGTGGAACTATACCAATGAGTCCCACAGAATGGCAGGTATGTAAATCTGTAATCCTGAAGTACCATTAGCGTTCCAGGCAAGTACTTTAATATCAGTGGCGGATCCAGGAATCTTGAAAGGGGGGGGGCGACCAGTTTGGGGTCGGGGTAGGGGTCCACAGCCACACCAAAACAAATTGACTTTTTAAACCTTATGTATATTTTGGACACAAAAGGGGGAGGGGCGGGCCCCCTGGCCCCCTCTTAATCCGCCATTGAATATAGTACATGTACAAGTAAAGTGGCAGCTGGCAAGTTATTCTTTAACGACGTACCATTAAAGTGGCATGCAAGTAATTCTATAAAAATAAAATATCTTATTCGAATTTCAAAATATATTTCTGATGCTTTTTAAAACCTCGACCCTGTATATTCCGAAAGTTTCAGTGGAACACATACTGACAGTGTTCATCTTTACGAAAAAGAACATTGAATTCATTTGCTTCAATAAGATCAAAATCATGATTTTAAAAATATTCACTTTTACTTTCAGTGAATGTTTTGCGAATATTGTACATTGAACATATTTTATTTTGCCAAATAAAAACCTGCAACATGACTGTTTTTTATAGATATAATAGTCATGTTGTAGAATTTTATTCATCAAAATTAAATGTCTATATTACTAAAAGTCCATAATTCATAACGTATCCCCTTCCTTACCTGACGATCATGACTTTGATCTGCATTTATTTACATTCACAATCTACAATACATTACACAATACATTAAGCTTTCCTCATATGAATTTGGTATTCTCTAGCATTTTTGTATACCACTAAATTATCTACTGGTACATTTCTTTTTGAAGAACATCTTCAGTGACTTTGACATGAGACACTGGGGAGAAATTCAGGTCTTCATTTAATGAAAATGAAGAAAACGAACAGTAATCAGGCTCAAAAATCCATAGAAAAATAAAAACACGGGCCTCTAAAAGTGTCAGAGGTGGGATCAGGTGCCATGGAGGAGTAGGCATTCCCTGTCGACCGGTCACACCCGCCGTGTGCTTCTTGTCATAATCTGACAAACGATCCTCATTATTAAGCTTTAATATGCATTTTAATAAATAAATTAAATGTTTAACTACAGAACCAATAATAGATATACAGATTTTTTTGGATTTAGTAATGATTACTATCTGGTTTAACTACACTTTGCCCATTTCCAGGAACTTTGAAAGATTGTCTGGATTTTGTTTAATAGTTCTGTAAATAAGTCGAAAGTGAGGGAATTGGGACAACTAAGATAAGTAATGAATTCCTTGAACAGAATGTAAAATGTATAATATTTTGTATTGAATTACTTCTTCTAATATGTAAGCATGTCATTAAGTTCGTTTTCTCTTCACTTCATTTTCCATTACAACTCCAAGAGATGTTGAATATATTCGTCAAAGATATTGTTATAAAAGCTTGTATTATTATAAAAAAAATATTATTCAGTAATGCTTTAGAAGCTTTCAGAAATTCAAACTTTCCCTGCTTTGCTTCTTAGTAAACATTTTCAGAGAGACAATGAAATCAACGCCTTACATATTTAGATTACTTAGCCCTATGTCACAATTTAACTGATTGCTGTATGACACTGGGGCAAAAAATTAAAACTGTAAATTAACTATTTTCCTTTAAAAAAAAAAAAAAGACGTTTCTCGTTGCATATTTCCGACATAAAGTGAAAATTTCCTCCCTGTTTTATTTTTACCCCTTTCACCTTTATTGTTAGTGTGCAAATTTAAAATGGGCCGAAGTCAAAGGAGACTCTTTAAAGCAACTGTCTGGGCAAATTTAAAAACTAGACAAAATCATTTGCATCTGGGCGAAATAACTATAACAAACAGTATTAGTCTTTCTTCTACACTTTACTCAGTGATCTGATATTAAGTGCATGTGGTAATCGCAACGTATGAAATGACAAAAAAACCCCGATGTCTTGAAAATGAAAATAGCATAAAGGTTACAATGAAGGAAGACGTAATGTAAACATGACTTTTTTGTTTTAGATTTACATAACACTAGGGGCTATTGCTATGTTCCTGATTCCCGCCATAATTATCACCATTTGTTACACGATTATCGTCGCCATTGTTTGGAAAAATTCTGAGTTTAGACTATCAGACACAGGTAGGTCTTGTTTAAACTTACTAAACGTACATAAATTATTGAGCGCACTCAAAATTTAGCACAATCTTCTTCATCAAGTGAGGAAATTATCGATGAAGCCCCTATCCTTAATCCTCGTCAAAATAAATAAATAAATAAACAAAAATGCTGTGCATGTACTGTGCTACAACATATTCCTTTTTAATTAACAAGTGTTAAAAATCAAACGTGGATTCTCAAACACTCTAAAGAACTTTTGAGAAATTTTTAAATCTATTCAGAAAACTTTTCAAAAATTAATATCATAGGATGACTTTATGACTTAATACAGCCACTCATGATCACCATGTTAAAATTAAGAACAGGTTTTTTGATATCATAGAAAGCTGCGTTTGCAATAAAAATGGAACTCGTAAATTTTCATATCTTGTGATTTGAATTATTCTGAATATTTGAATCAAGCATTATATTTGGTTATTTCACAATACCTGTATAATCTATCATAATCCATTGAAGAGTAAATCTTGATACTAGTAATTTCTACCTTAAGGGTCCTTTCTTTGCATGGAACGACTCATTTTATTCTATTTAGGGATTGAAATATTATTCAATAATATTATTTTGTTGTCCAAATGCGGGGAAAGTTTCGTCACTCAGTTGTTAAAATATAATTAAGATTTCTGACGAATGAAACACTGGAGACAGATGCATGTATTCTGAAGATTATGAGAACGTATTAATTGAAGCAAAGAAATAGTAGTTAGCTACATGTACTACGATACTAAGCATATATTTTGGTAAATTGACTAAAGATTAAGAAACGAGGAAATGTTTATATACCCCCCCTTTTTTAAAAAGAGATTTATGAAAATAAAAAGCGTTAGTAAACGTGTTAATATAATTTTTAGAAACTGAATACAGTTAGCAACAAAGGAGTAAGAAAAAAAAACATTAGACCTACTTAAAAATAAGAATATGTATCATATTTCTCTTAAGACGAACATAAAATTATTATTTTATATTTACATCCATTGAACAGTCGGTCTTTGAACCTTAAACTAGTTCGAGCTAGTTTTTTTAAACCGTTTGCATGATTAATTTTGTAAGAAGTTGGCTACTCCATCAATGTAACGTACGGGTCAGTTATAGAATATTTTACTCACTTTCACCCACTATATTTGAATAAGTAACAAACAAATAAAGAAACCATTATTTTATTTTATTTCATTGTTTAAATAAATTCTATTGCTTCTGAAAGGTTGAATAAGTTATTAAGACTCTTGTTAGAGTAACATTTTACGATTTCAAAAATTTATGAAAAAAAAACACACAAATATTTCTAAAATCTTTCTGATAATGAAATACTATCATAATGGAGTTTAAATTGTTATGAATTCAATACCTATGTTCATTAAGCAATACGTGAATACATGTATGCTGGAGTGATATTTATTACAGATGCAGCAACGAATCTTACTACGAAGAATATCAATTCCCAAGCAACTGTACCCATGGGGAGACATTCAATATCCCGTGCCAAAATTAAGTCGATCAAAATGACGTTTGGTATTGTAATTGGTAAGTACCTCGAATTATGTTTGTCCCCGCTTTCACTGAAAGTAGGGGATATTAATTTGGGTCGGTCTGTACGTCCGTCTGTCCGTTTGTCTTTCTGCGAGATACTAGTATCTCCCGAAGTCTTTGAGCTTTTTCTATGAAATTTTACATAGCAACTCCCTATGGCCTATAAAAGACCCCTATTGATTTTAAGGTTCAAAGGTCAAGGTCTTAAAGTTTGTCTGTTTTAACACTTTCGTTTCCTCACGATATCTCGAGAAGTCTATGAGATTTTGCAATGAAATTTTATACCGCAACTCCCTATGGCCTAGAAAAAATCCCTATTGATTTTGAGGTCGAAAGGTCAAGGTCGTAAATTCATAGATTCTGTCTGTGTGTAACACTTTCGTTTCCAGACGATATCTTGAGAAGATTTAGAACTTTTGCAATGAATTTTTATACCATAACTCCCTATGGCCCCGCCCGCTCCTCTTAAAGTGCCGGTGCCTTTTTTTTTTTTTAATTTTGGTCATTTTTAAAAAGTTCGTTGGAAATTGTTTGCATTGATCACGCTCAGAGTTTAAGAGTTACTCCCCGTTTGTATTAAAAGTCGCGTGACACTATTTTAGCAACAGTCTATATATCCATATTGGCATTTTTTATTTAGTAAATACATTTAATAACTCTGCAAATCCAAATACATTTAATAACTCTGCAAATCCAGGGGGGGGGGGGGTTCCGATCCCCCCTTCTTAAATCTGTGCATACTTTTTTTTTCTTCATCGGAGGACACAAATTCTCTGAATTACATGTAGCTTGCATTTATTATAGTCCTGCATTTCCTTTAAGTATATTTCAAGGGAATTCTCTCGTCATGGGTATTTGTACTCTCTCTCTCTTTCTCTCTCTCTCTAAAAGAAAATTACAGATTCTGTAGACATTTCAGAAATTTACATCCCAGTACTTCAATTTTGAAAGGTCCAAGGATCTTATGTTCAAAATAGTAAATATCAAAATTAATAAGCATTTGGGTAAAAACAAATAGAAACTCAAACAGTACATCATTAAATAAATGTTTCTTTAGTTTCAAGAAAAAAGTATAATACTTAGGTACTCCGTTTTGACAAATTCATGTACATTAACACTATTTTCTTCGTTTTTCAGCATTCATAGTGAGTTGGAGTCCCTACTTTATATTCAATATACTGGTGGTATATGGATACATAAATGTATCCGATTCTCGGACCTACCAAGTTTCCGTGTTATTTCAGACTTTTGCGCCAATTAATTCCGCAGTGAATCCTGTCATTTTTCTTATATTCAACGGCAAAAAATACTTTAAAGTGTGCAAAAAGGCAGACTCCTCTCAAATAGAAACAAAGGAGACAAACTTTTATTCACAAAATAATATTCACTGACACCCAAGAAATATATTTTTTCTGGTCTAGTTGTTAAACTCAGGTCAGTTTCTTTGTGATGTGACTTTACCTATGTTGGACAATGCTGATTGTTACAAGACAAACCAGAAACTTCAATCTCTGAGAAGCTTTTCAACTGACGAGATTAAAAAAAGATTGTAGTGGAAGAGGCAAAACCTCGATTGATATTTTATTAGTGTTTTCATACTTCTTCAAGCACGAAAATGTGAACTAGACTTGTCAAATAAGCGTACATAAGTAAAAGTTATTACGTATATATGACCTAGTTTATGATTCATATCATCTTTATAAGCACAGTCTACTAGACCCGTAGGGTTAAAAGGATGACTGCTCTGTCCTTCATCTTATTTTTTAAGAACATATTTTGAATGATAAATTGTACTGATGAACATATACATAAAATATATTAAATTTCTTTATAAAACAAAAAAAAAGAGATTATTTATTTATTTATTGATAAATTTAGAATCTACATTATAAAATAACAAAGACAGTTACATATACTTCTTTTTTTAATGTTATCTGATAAAAGTTATTTGTATCTACGGTTGAAAGTATCTGTTCTTAATTGTTTTTACTCATACACAATTTATTTGTATTTCACATTCATTTAAGAGTTTAATCATGGATACAGACGAAATATATTATTGTTCAAGTACATATATCTGTATTTCTTTTATGAAATCACCTGCATACGGGGTATATATCTCTCAGTTGATTCGATACGCAAGAGCATGCTCTACGTATGTACAATTTCTAAAACGAGGTAAATTATTGACAAACAAGTTGATGAAACAAGAGTATCAGCTGTCTCGTTTAAAGTCATCATTTCGTAAGTTCTATGGTCGATACAATGACCTTGTCAGCAAATACAATTTATCATTGAGTCAAATGCTGACTGACGTTTTTCATACTAATTGTTAGTCCATTATTTACACACTGAATTGTCGACGGATTTTTCCGTTATTTCCCGATTATGACAAGGAGCACACGGCGGGTGTGACCGGTCGGCAGGGGATGCTCACTCCTCCATGGCACCTGATCCCACCTCTGATGTTTGGAGGTCCGTGTTTGCTCTGCTCCTATTTTGTATTGTTTAATGGACTTTTGAGCTCGATTACTGTTCGTTATCTCCGTATATTTCATGTATTAAAGGGAATAAAAAATTAGATATAAAATCTTTGATTATCTCTATCAAAGGCACTAAGCCAATTAATGAACGGTTTTAATTCAAAAACTAAATACCAAAGAACCAAAAAATTTTGTTACATTTTTCCCGCTGCTAATTAGACATGCTTTTCTAAACGCCTTTCTAATCAAAACAAATTCAAAACATCATTCGATTTTTTTAACTAAAACGCAAATGGTGCACCCGTCGACTTTTTGTTTTCTACATATCGTTGTTCCAGCGATATATGATTGTGGTATTGTTTGAAGTAATACATTTTCAACAAAATACAGGTTGAAGTAATTGATTTGTTTTTTTTTTCTTCAAATTTCAAAGCTAATGTTTGGGGAAAAAGTAAATTTCATATGGTATAGTGGCAATCCCTGTGAGTGTTAAATGCTGGGGAGGAATTTTTTTTTAAGTTGCAAAAGCTCTTACTTAATTGCATCTAAATTTTTGCATATTTATTAACCCTATTGTGAGCTGCTTGTTATGCAAATGGTGTAATATGATGTTTCCTGTTTTTTCCCCTTCACTAATGAGTCTTGAGTAATGAGTCTTCTCTTAGAATGCATGTATGATAGTTTATCTACGAGCATGAGTGAAAGCTACGATTCAGAATTAATTGAAACTAGAATACAATTTTCTTTTCTTCATAATTTCTTTCAATCATCAAGAATAAAAAATAAATAAATGTGTGTTTACAATCAGGGAACTTGGCTATGCATCCAAAAAACAAAATAGGTAAGAAATTGATTTATTATTTGTCGGAACTATTTCTTTGAAAATATATATTTTCCATTGTTTCAGGTTAGTAGCATTAAATTGGATATCAACCGGGTTATACTTCAACAATATGAATTCATTAATGTTAATTAAATAATGAATTCTTAAAATTATTTGACAGAATATTAATGAACTAAGGATGGGTTGTGCAAGATGTAATGACAAATATGACTTAAATAGGCAAGAAAAGGTATTCTATGTATAACAAAGTCAGATCAATATCGACTTACATCCAATCCTCATATATGTAAAGAAGTAAATGCATCGGTTATCAGAACAAATTAGAGGCAAGTTAATTCTTAGTGGATGTTGTTCATGTTTAATTACATGTATTTACAAGAACATTAGATGGCTCAGATACATGTACTCCATTATGTTTACAAAAGACTTGAGATCATAAAATTCTTAACATCTCTATATTTCTGTAAGATAATTCAATATTTAAGAAATCTCAAATATACTTTGATTTAAATCCATGAATTCGTGTTCTGCACAAAATATTAAACTTTTAAGCTATAGTATCACGTTTCTTCCTATACAAAGAATATAAATCCCTAACAAACAATATTTTTTCATCAAACCACGAAAATTTGACCACACAATAAGTGATTTTACAGTAGTAATAATAGGTTTTTTTTTTAAAGTAAAATAAACACTTGTTTAATTTGCATTTACTGATTTATTGGTACTTATGCCATTATTCGGGAAATACCTTTAAAAAGAATTAAAACCGGGTTGAAATAATACAAGGACCTTGGATGCACATATTGAATGTTTTTTCCTGTGTTAACGTATTTTTTTCTTTAAATTTACATACCAGGAAATTTGCATAAAACAATGGTATTCAATTCTCAACGGATATTAGTTCTTACTGTAATTTATGAGAATTTTGACCTTGTAAGAAAGTTTACTTTTTATTTTCACCATATATATTTTTTCCTCTTTCATGTAAATAAAATCATAATTATCTGATTTATTTTTAAATATTATGACATAGAGTTTTTCTGACAATATTCTCAAAACTCAAATACTGTCAGTCGTTTTTTGAGGAAAATCATTCTAGACAAGGATTACTTTCAGTGCTATTCACAGCCATGTACTGTAGAATTGTATCACCGACACCGAGAATGTTAAAGATGTCGTTTACAGTAGCTAAACAGCAAAGATTCAATTGGAAGCATTTCATACAAGTAGCAGGTGGAGGTTTAGACTGAATTCTTCAAGTAACAAAGCCAAGCGCAGAAAATTTGCACATCGGCATCAATCAGGTTTGAGAAAAACAAGTTGAAAATAATTCTTCTAACCAACTTTACGAGAATATATTCACAGAATATTAAAATTGCTACATGTGATGAAAAAGTGACCAGTACTTTTTCCCCCGAGTACAGTTTACTTCTGTGTAAGTCTTAATTAATCCTTATGTAACACTTCGTGATCTTATCCTTGTCCTGGGAACCACAATTTGTATATTATGCACGAATAATTAGATTTACATCCTTTGAGAATATGGTATGAGAAAAGTTACTCAACTACTGAACCATTTTAAATTAAAAAGATGTACATCTTATTCGTGTCTATTTTTTTTATTGGATTTTTTTGTTTTTATTATTTTCACCTTACGAAGGTGTTCAGTCCTCCCTATCAAAGATAACAAGGTCAAAGTCAACTAAATAAATTCGTGGTTTCATTCAAAGTTATTGAAACAAGAAAAGTCTTTGTAGTAAAGAGGGTGTTGCAATAAAGTGGCAGTATTCCCAGAATGATACATTGGTTGTATTTTAGTGACTGGGAAGTATAATTCAATTAAATGGAGTCGTAATTATCCTATAACAGCCTTCTCATAGAGTTTCTATTCTTTCTGGAAACAAACCCATTTTACTACACTGTTTAAATGCCACTAAAGAAATTAAAAGGACTTTTTACTGCATTTTGAATATGTTTCAGTCATTTACAGATTAAATGCAATATTACAAAATAATCATTAAGCAGGGGAACATATCAGACAGGCAAATTATATAAATGTACATATGCGGTGTAGACATATCTCGTTCAAAATTTGACTCAAGTAGTTAAAACCATCAACGTTCTCTTTCGTCAAAAGCTATCAAAATGTACAAAATTGGGCAAAAAACGTACGACAAATCATTTTGTAGCTAAGGCCTCCTTGGAACTCCGGAATGTGATTCCCAAAACCATACATCTCAAATGAGGCATTGCAGGCAAATCAGAGTGGATGCATTTCTTTTTGTTTAGAAGCCTGAATCATTGTCAGTCATAGGAAAAGAGAAACTTGATTTGTATCCTACTGTCCTTCTTGATATACTTTATTTTAACAAATAAAATATACGATAAGATAGTCATGTGTATATTTCATTTATTAAAATAAAGTATATCAGGAAGGACACTACGTTTGAACTGAACGGTTCAGCTTGAATCCGATTTATAACAATTGTTTCACACATGTTGTGGGGTGGGGTAGGGTTTGTGGTTGGGTTTAAAATCATATATTTAACCACCCCCACTCCACCCCACCCCCCACCCCCCAAATGCCCAGAACACAATATATAACTCTACAATCGATTTTCTTCACAATTTTTGTATGCTCGCTGTCTCTTTCAAAAAAGAAATAGTTTATTATTTGTTAATTAAACATAATTTACAGAAGTAATACGGTTTTAGAGAAATTTGAAGTGAACTGATTTTTCATTTGTTTCTTTTGTTTTGATTTTCTTTCTTTATTGTTTTATTTTTTATCTTTTGGACAAAATGAGATGCATGGATTAGAATTTTTAAAATAAAGTCCACAGATCATTTCTATATTAAGTATTTTAAAGAAGTACATATTTTCTGTTTCTCTCCTACATGTAGAAGATACAGCGCGAACCTCATAACCTTTGTAACTAAACATTCAAAAGACATTAAGTCATTACTTTGTTTGTCAAATTCAGGTTCATAAACTTTTTTCTTGTAGTCAATCAACCTCTTTTAATGTTATATTTTAAAGTTTAACGTAGTGCATATAATATTTTAACTGCATCACGCTTACAAGTTCTCATTATTTTTAACATTGTAGCATAATGAAAGAGAACCAATACGATAGAATTAGCCCGTAAACTCGCATCAATATAAAAAATACTTGAGATATGTGCACATGTTTCCTGCAGTAATCATAAATTACTAGAATGCCGCTGTCTTAATGTCTTGAAAGTAATAAAAGAAAGAGGCAACTCATCTTTGTATTTTACAGATTTTGTAAATTGTCAATTTGAAAGAAAACATCGCCAAAATAATCCATACCTGCGTATTTTAATGACACAGCTTGTATTTAACTGAGAGACGGGAAATTTCAGTGTTGTGTATTTTGACTGCTCATCAACAATGAGTTTTGATTGCTGTTAGTTGAAAAAAAATCATTCTAATTTCAGTTATTGTCTG